AGCCGAACACCCTTTGTCTGGCTGACTGAGTCACATAGTTGGAAGAGTTTTGTGAAAAGAATCCCTATCTGCCTTAAAATGTTTTGGATGTACCTGACACTGTTGTTTCTTCTAGAACGTGTGGCTTTATGGAGTCCATTTCTCTTTACCCACCTGTCCACACTCACTGCAGCTCAGCACACCAGCTCACCTCTGACTCAAACACTGTAAAACCTCTCTGTGATACCCAAGTAGCAATATTGGAGTAATTCAGCCACATGTTGGACCCAGAAACCAATGATGCAGAAAGCTTTGCTGCCTTTAGTCTCAGTTTTGTGACGTATGAAACTCTGGAAGTCTGAATCTGTTTCTGAGACTCTCACCAGGACGGAAACACTCAGCAGTGGTGTTCACTGATTATTTCTCTCATGATTGCAGCACATAAAACAGCACATGGACATGTCTTTAAATCTGTAACAAGCTGTACACAGAACATGTTGATGATAGACTATTTCCTCTCCATGCATTCAGAAGCTCAAGGTGACTCTGTTGGGTTCACGTGGGGATGTTCTGCTTTCACTCTCTTCCAGCTCCTCTACCGGCTCGCTGACTGCCAGTAAGTGTTCTGTGGGCTTGTCCTAAAACCAGACTGATGAGACTGATCCAGAGCTGTAAAGCAGACACAAACTGAAAGATGCACAGCAGCAGAGCGAGGAGAAATAATTCTCTGTGAAATCATCACAGACGAGACCCTCTGAACATCATCCACAGTGTGTTTGTGTAGATTCGGTAGCAGACCAGTTCACTCAGACACACCAGTGCCAAAGTTGGCAGAATTCTTTAAATTCCCTCTTAATTGCAGATCAAAGATTTGTTAGCATTCCTCTGAGCATGAGGCAGCAACAGGACTCACTGTACTGACTGAGCCTTATTGTTTTATCTGCGATGCAAAAGAAGTGGAAAATCGCTCCCATGCTGTCTTTATGGCTCCTGACTCTGGAGTTCATGTTACAGGAACTTTCCCGTCAGCTGTCGATCAGCTGGAACAAAGTTCACAAGTTCCTGCACCTTAAGTCAACAGCGGCGCTTACGTAAGAGAACTATAATAAACCAGACAGCCGCCTTCACTCACACCGCCACAGAAACACATTTGGTCCATTTAGCAGATTAGACTCACAGAAACAGCGTGAAGTGTTTTAAGTTAAGGATGACCATAGTGACCACAGGACAGGAACACAAATGGATCACCAGCTGGTTCTAAGTGACACTAAGAAAACCATAAAACCTGCCATAGACGTTGTGTTCCCCACATGTTGAATTATATTACATTTATATGTTTATTACCTCCATTCATTTATGTGTCCTGATGATCCCAGCTTTTCATTTAACACTCTTGTAAAGTCGTCGATGAGACTGCCATGAAATCGGGTTCTTTGATTCTGATCCATGACTGCTGGTTGCATCGCCTTAGTTTACGGTGTGCCACCACCTCAAACTGTTATTTCACAATCAGCTTCATTTTCACAATGAAAAGACCTTTCAAACTTGTTGAACTGTAATAAAAAAAAGCACAACTTGTATTTTGAAAATAAATATATTTTAATAGTCACACTAAAAACAACTATTAATGTGTAAAACTTCTTACAGCACCAATAAATATATTAATGTGAAAATATACTAAAAAGTGTGTATCAAGTTGTACAAAGACAACCGTATTTAAATACAAACAGAATGTTGTCTTCATCAGAGAAGTGGGAAGGTGTGGATGCTGAGCCAGCAGCCTGCCTCTCCGGCCTCCAGTCTGAGCGACGCACAAACAGCAGCGTTCTGTTTACAGGTGAGATGCACGGACACAGACGTGCTGTGGAGGATTTGTAGGAACAGGTTGTAACAGTTGATAGGAAATCAGAATGGCCCAACAGTTCAATAAATGTCGGTCCTCCTTAGAAAACGGCCAAAGCCCAAGTCTAAAGTCAAGGTGACGAAGTGGTGACATCAGTCTGCAGAGCCTTGCAAGGGGAACGTCAGTAAAACGCACCTTTGAATGAATAAACTACCTGTGTCAAGTCAGTCAAAGCAATAAGAACTGAAAGTAGAGGTTGTTGTTGCTGGTCCTGCCAGCAGGGAGTGTTTCAGAGCAGACCGAGAGTCATTCCTCAATTTAATATCCGGCCTTTGTGCTGTCAGCTCGGCTAGCTGTGTGTCCATGTTGCTGTCCGCCAACTTGGAACAAACTCTGGAAACGCCGCAAAAAGAGAAAATGCAAATCAGGCTTCTTTCCATTCTGTCCTCTGTGTGGTGTTGTCACAAGGTGGCGCTACAGGCTGCAGTAAACAGAGTAGAAGAAGCCACTGCTGATTAGTCATGTGGCCTAAATGTTCACGAAGCCGACGTATTCAGGGAAGATGTTTCTGTCTGACATGAAACTCTTCAACCCAGTTTTCAAAAAAAAAAAAGAAATGCAAAGCCCCCAGAGAGACTCGGGAAAAATGTTTTTTTTTTCAAAAATGTGAATTTCTTCTCTTTTTTGTTTAATTGCTATTTCATTTAACTTTATGTAACATGATACTTCCAAAAACGTTGTAGAAACGTTGCTGACTGAAGCAAACCGTGAACACTCGAAGGATCTGCTGCTGCTCAGCAGCTTCCTGAAGAAAAACTTCATTCCAGGAGCTATAAAGGAGGAACCACCTGTCAAAGCCCAGATCCAGGATCAGCATGCAGATTGTGTCCTGGCTGAGCAACAGTGGACCTGCTGGAGGGAGTCCGACTATCAGGGTGTTCTGTGGATGTTTAATGTCCTGCTCAGCCTGCTGCCGCTGCAGCGTGACGCTGAATACGGCAAAGAAATCAGATGGATGAACATAAACACTGATGGTTAAAGAGCACTAATAACTATCTAGAAAACAAACTAGGCCTGTCATACCCTGCCGGGCTCTGCAGAACTGACATGCAGTCAGAACCAAGGGATTGTTCTCATGGACCAACATGTCCTCTACCCCTGAAGTCCAAACGCATCACATCAGTAGCTGAAGTGAAAACGTGGCTCCTGGACCCAGATGCATCCAGTCACATCCAGCATTCACAACGTCAGCTTGAATACAACAGGATTCAGCCGTTTCTACTGTGACCTGCTGCTCACTGTTACATGACGTGTAGATCTACCTTGTTCTTCATCAGAGGGGAGATCTGTCTCATATGGGAACGGTTTACCATGAAAGGACATGAAGGCTGCCTGTCAGACTGAGTGAGGACATTATGTACGTGGGCTGCGTTTAGTTCCCAGTAAACAATGCCATTTTACTGCCCTCAGACTGGAGGCCTCGTCTCAGACGGTCTCTTCAAGGTTAGTTCTGAGCCGACCAGTGACATAAAGACTCACTTCTCAACAGGACACATCCTCAGGCAGACAAATGCCAAATCACGTCTGTTTTCCAGTCTCAAATGAGAAACACCTGTGTTGGCTCATCATTCATGTGTATGTTGGTGGCTGGGCTTTTATCGGCCAACGGGCCGCCTTAATCTGCTCCAGCTGCTGAGAAACGCAGCTTTAGTTAAAATGGAATGTCAAAGCATTGTCAGTCCTTTTTCCCACAACAAAAGTTCTCCATCCCATCTGTGGACAGATTGAAAACAGCTGAGGAGTCAGAATAACCTTAACACTGCAAATAAATATTATAACACCAAATACTGGACGTGTTCCATAAATTAGATGTAGTGTCGTATACAAAGAGATGTTCAGTGAGTATATACAGATCGTTCATGATAAACTCTTCTGTGACTTGTTTTAAAAGTCAAAGCTGATGAAAAGGAAACTTGAGTATTCCTGCAGCAAGGTGCTGATCTACGATTGTCTCATCTTCTCTGTACATACCTACAGGAACATCCCTTCAGACACCTGGTCTCCACATATCGTGTTAAAGCAACACAAGCGTCAAAAAGTAAATAATAAACTCCTGCACAAAAAACACACATTTCCAGGGAAGGGTTACATGAAGGAGGCCTGATCAGAAACAGGTGGTGGTTCGCTGCCTTGGGCCGGGCTCACACTGCAGGAGGGTTCACATGTTCAGAGTTTAAAATCAGGCTGCATTGTAAGGAAGAACTTTGCAGATATTCTGCTCTCGAATCTGAAACTAATGAACTACAAGTTTGAAAAAACAAAGCAGGATATTATTCAAACTGTGGAGTCAGAGAGCAGAGCTGCACCTGACTGAGATCAGAGGAAGCAGATGGAAACTAAATGGAGGCTGTGGAGCAACAAGCTGCTGTAATTAAACTGCACAGGGCTACGAACAGGGCTCAGGAGAGACTTCTTCTGTTCTTTAGAACTGGAGGTGAGATTTATCTATCGGATGTATTTTCTGTAGCTAACGTTAGCCTCGAGGGCAAGAACATCCTCTGCTCCAGGTATGATAACTGGACTATCCACATTTTATCTGGTGAAGATCCAACAAGGGCTGCAGGTGGATCAGTGGTTAGCACCGTGGCCTCACAGCTAGAAGGTCACCGGTTGGCGTCCCGGTGAGGACACCCGGGATCTTCCTGCGTGGAGTCTCCATGTTCTCCCCGTGCAGCGTGGGTTCTCTCCGGGTTCTCCGGCTTCCTCCCACAGTCCAGAAACATGCTGAGGTTAATTGGTGATTGTAAATTGTCTGTAGGTGTGAATGTGAGTGTGCTTGGTTGTCTGTCTCTAAGTGTAGCCCTGTGATAGACTGGTTACCTGTCCAGGTGAACCTGCCTTCACCCTGAGTCAGCTGGGATAGGCTCCGCCCCCCATGACCCTGGTGAGGATGAAGGTGTAGAGATGATGGATGGACAGACATCCAACATGTTTGGTATTAACGGCAACATTATGAGTCTGCAGCAGTTCAGAAGGTTTCAGACTGAATCTGTAAACATTACAAAATAATCTGGACCAACATCGGTTCAGACCCGGTTTCTGCTCCAACGGTCAGTAGGATGAAACTCCTGCAGTCTGAGCCCAGACTCAGCAAACTCAAGAACACACCTGATTATTATCCAGTTTGAATATTGACCGAGATCTTTAAACTTCCCACAACTTCATCATTAATCTGTAGTCTGGTTCTTGCTATCGTCACATAACCCTTCAGCTTCACATTATTCATGACCACAGTATGGAACCTGCACCCACAGTTACTTCAGGACACTGGACTCTGGGCAGAGAACTTTTCAGGTGTGTTCTCACACCAGCTGGAGTCAGGCTGTACAGTGGAGACAACTTCACATCATGGCTGAGGGACACACTTCTTGGACCTGCTGTTCACTTCAAGTACAAAGAGAAGTCCTCCATCTGTCCCCTCTGGCTTCTGTCGGAGTTTGAAGTTCAGATTCTGCTGCACTGCTCAATGAAGTTAATACCAAGTATGAGAATTGTATGTCCACAGCAGATGAGCATCCAGTGAAGAGTTAATAAAACGTCCTTTCTCAGCTCTGTCCACGAGCAGAACTGAAAGATTTCCATTCATACGCCAGCAGCGCATTCGTGTCACTTTAAATATGTTTTTCGATGTAGCAGCAGAACATTGTACGTAAAAGTAAAAGTACGTATATATATTAATATCTTTAGTCGGAAAACAGGCCATGTCCAGATGTGCATCCAGAATGTCCTGTCTTGCGTTGTCGGTGTGTCCTTGCAGGGAATGCATCCTCAGATTTCAAAGTGCTGTTCCAAGAAAAGAATTCCTTCATAACAGTGTTCCAGGTCTCATCTTCTTGGCGTGTCACATCTGTGGAGGACAAGACAACAACCTGGTTATGTGGAAGCGTCAGCTTGCAAAACGTGATGAGCAGAGAGTCGGTACATCACTGCTCCATGGAACAGGATGCTGGAAGTCAGTCTACTTCCTCTGCTGAATAGGAAGTGCTCTTGTACAGTCTAAAACGGATTTTCCTAAACTTTCTTCCAGCCAGCTTCTAGTGTCATCAGGCTTTCTGAGTGTGTGGCAGCTCAGCAGGGTTCAGCCGAAGGTTGGGGGTGAACGAATCCGGAGACCCCCCACCCTCAGGTCACCTCCACCCTCTATAGCAACACTAGCCAGCCAATTGGAACCATGTCTGTGGTCACCACAAGTGTGTGGCCCTCTAAGGCCACAGCAGTGTGGGGGGGCCTGGGTCAGAGGTCAGGGAAATGGAGGGTCACAGCAGGTCAGTAAACACAGCTTGGTTCAGTGGCAGCAGCAGCTTCAGCACCTCTGTCCTGAGCACATTGTGCTCTCATCATCTCTGAGTCAGGAAGATCACACACAATTCAAAAAGAGTAACAAACAGGAACTGTGCCATGCAAGCAGCAAGAACATCTCTGCATTCAGTCACCTGCAAACCTTTGTTAAAAGACAAAGTCGTGAGAGCTGCACGCCTCCTGCTAACCCGGTCTGGACACATGCAGCTGCTCCGCCTCGGACTTACTTCAGTTTACTTATTTGTTATCTGGGACGCAGAAAAAGAAAAGAATGTCTAACTTGATGTGAATTTGATATGCGGAAAGTATGGCAAGACCAGGCTCCAGTTTTTAGATGTTCAGACTAAATGTTGATGTGGAACATTGGTAGGAACCAGAACCAGGAGCTCACGGGCTCTAGGTGTTGGTTTATATGTGCAGTTACAAGTCGTCCTTATGCTGAATTCAAACAACCTAAGAGCCGCTCTGCCTTACTGAATGATACTATTCAGAAATTCATTCTGAGAATTCAGGCAAAAATATTTTACAGAATTTACTTGAAATATCTGAAACTATTGAGCCAACTGTCCCATCGCTTACTAAGCCTCAGCCTTGCTTCTCCAAAGTTTTAGTGCTTTCAACAACATTCATAAAATCAGATTTTCAATTCCTTTTCGTGCTATCTGTCCCACCCAAAGGATCTTAAGACCAATTATTATTTAGTGAGGCTTTTCGACTCCCCTCACAGTCTTCAGCAGCAACTGGAGCTGAGAAAAATCTGTTTGTTTAGAACAGAAACTTGGTCTCGCTGGAGTCACCAAGAGGCTGGATGACAAGAGAAGCTCCATGATGGAGGGTCCTCGCTTATAACAAGCATCCAGAGTTTTGATTTGTCACATGTTCAGTCTGTCGAGGGAAACATCTCACATCACACATCTGCTGCTGGTCCGTATGAACAGTCCAGGTCCAGGCAGACGGCTGCCTTCCCTCAGCCTGGTTCTGTCGGAGCTCTGTTTGTGTCAAGGGAGTTTTTTCTGTCAGGAAATGGTTGTTGAGTTTCTTTCTAAAATGTTGGAAGGTCTTCCTTCAGTGTCCTTGAAAAGTTTCTTTGTACAAATAAAGTTAAACTGAAATAAAACTTTAATTGAAAAGGAAACAAAAGGACGCTGACAGTAAAGTGCTGAGGTCTGCCGACTGGCCATTTGGTACCAAACAGTGCATCACGCTGAGCTTTCTAGAACCTTCTACTGTAGGAACAGAGTTTGGACAGTGAAACTGTCCTAACTGTAGTTTTCCAATGTTAGAGCACCACTAATGATTCTACAACCACCAAAGTGGTGCTGTGCTGGTAGTAAGCAGATGTTGTAAAACTTGACAGGTAATTGAGAAAACACTGGAGAACCAAACCTTCAAAGGTTGACGTGCTCCTCCAGCTCTTCTCTTGGATTCACAAAATCCTTTCAGAACCATTGTTTATATGAAATCAGCCATCAACTAAGAAAAACACTGAAGTCACCAAAACTTCTTGGAGATCTGAAACTGTCCCTCAGCAGTTTGTGTTGAAGTTCGGCCTGTTGGTCTGGGAGCTGCTACGCCCAAGCCATGCTTTTATGGATGCTGCTAATGTTCTAAATGGGAATAACTGTTGTGCCGGCTGTTCGGTCATTAAACATTCAGACTGGATTAAAACAATGTTTGAACTAACTTCCACACTGATGTGACTATTTACCAGACAGGAGACGATTCAAACACAATGAAGCACAGAACCTCCACATTTCCATGGACAAACACAAGAGCACAGAGCAGGGAGAGGCATGCGTTCTCAGGAGGAAACACATCCATGCTGGGAGCACAGACGGGGGCAGAGCAGGCAGGTGGACGAAAAGGGCATTCAAGGCATGTTTTTACGTTTGGCAAACAAACCTGCAAGTTCTTTCGTTTAACTCAAGCTGCCTGGACCTGCAGTCTAACTGAGTGAATTTGCAGGAGCACTGACAGGTGAGAGGGTCCTGCACAAACAAGCGCTTTCTTCTCTCTGAGCAAGGTGCACAGTGGCTGCAAGGGAAGCAAAGAGGAGAGACAGGGCTAAGCTAGGAGTGAATTCTGCAGAGGCCAGAGCAGAGCTCCATGCAACACCCCACCCCCCAATGGCAGCATGCCACACCACCTGGATATCAGTGAATCAACCTGACAGAATCCTACACTTGAAGCAACCCTACCCCTCCACCACGAGTTCAGGCCAACATTCTGTGTCAACGGCAACACAGATAAGGTCATGTTGAGGAAATAAAACATCATTTCACTGTCTGTTGAGGACTTTATGCTCCAACACATGGCTGAGCTGAGTCCAGTCCCAGTTAGCAGCGTTATACTCGGACATTTATGGAGAAAATAACGACACTTGCATTAAAGTTTTTGGTTTTAGCCTATTGTCTGTCTGAGTTTTACAGTGTACCAGCGTCATGGAGCCTCGTGTCTGCAGCAACATGTCAGTGATGCAGCAGTGATGTGGTTCGACTGGAGCTGAAGGGAGGAACAGCTGCACCGATGGAGACGGAGTGGTGGAGAATACTGAGAGAAACCCAAGGAAGCATTCAAGAAAAGTTTCGGATGCCACAGATAAAAAAGAAACTTGAGAGAGGAAATTAGAATCTGAAAAAACGACGACCTGCTTCACAAAGTTTGTGTCACTGCCAGAAGGGCGAGACCAAGGTTCCTCACTGCAAACAACTCGAGACAATTTCAGCCGAGCGAACTCCTCCGAACATTCAATAAATCAGAGGCGGGTCAGAGTAACCCATCAGAGAAAAGGAAGCGGACAGTTTGAAGTTGATGCTACAGCTGAAAAATCTGATCCAGTGCTAAGCTTTGAGACACAACAACAGAACCACGTTCTGTCTCATAGAGCTGCTGCCGGTCGGCACACATCTAAAACATGGGATGAGTCCTGTAGAACTTTATAAACCTGACAGAGGACGGAGCAGAACTTATCGACCCATCAGTGCAACAGTGACCTCCAGCTGATTTCCTCCTGTGTCTGTACTTCTATACCATCAGACAGCCATCAAACCATTTCTCATAGACATAGCAGGAGAATGACCACAGCAACCTGGTGCTGCCATGACTGTAAGGGAGGACTGAGATCTAGACCTGGTTCTACCTCAAAAGACAATCATCATATGCTCTTTGGTTCAAATCTATTGCAGATGTGTTAAAAAGGAGACAGAAACAGCGTCTGTTTACCAACTAGCTGGTCTCTCCATGCTTCACCATCACCCTGACAGACAGACTCCTGCATTGTTAAACCAACAGCAGGAGACCAACTGACAGCTGCTCCAACTGTTTCTACACCAGCAGGGTTGGCTACTGGTCCACAGGACTGAGCACACCCTCTTTATAGCAGCTCTGCTTCACCTGCACATTAAACTAGCTGCCTACGTGCACGGTGGCAGGCACACATCCAACAAGGCAGGACAGAGCTGAGATCAGTTCAGGCCTCTGACAAACAGATCTGACTGCGCTGACATGATCCCATCCCTCCTCCACCAATCCATCAGGTTTAACCTGCCAAAGCTCACTTCAGTACATTCTCTGCTCTTATCTGATGAAACCGCTGACCCCCTGCTGAGAAGCTTCAACACCAACATCAACCATGTTGTCCATGCAGCTCTACGTCAGCTGTGACAGCCAGTGAGTTCGAAACAGCACCTCAGCTCGTCTCTGAGCTCATCCTCTATTTACACCACTAAAAATAAAAATAGGTTAACTGCATGACACCTGCTGCCATGATTAGAGGGGAAGTGGCCGAGTGCTGAGGGTCAGGTTTGTGCACCTGGAGCCAGAGTGCAGACAGCAGTGGGTGGTCCGAAGTCGCCTCAATCGCTTCCTGTTCCAGCCGCACCATAAAGCACTAAAGCCAATGTCATAAAACCAGCACAGCTTAAATGAGAGAGTTCATCAGAGACTTGGACTGAGCAACGTCACCTCCTCTTGAGCTGAACTCAAAGAAACATGAACTAAGACAGACAGCGCTATTTCAGCTTGACCTGTGCACATTGTGCTCATGCACAGCAAAGGGGCAGGAGAGGGGATGTGGGGGTGAGGGGGTCAGAGAGACGCTAAATCTGCCACATGCCGACTACCTAATTATCTGCCATCTCTCTCCAGAATCTCAGACGGCACCTTTAACCAACACCGAATCAGCACATAGACGCCTTCTTCCTGATCCGGCCCGAACACGTCTGAGCACCAGCGAGCAGCTCTGCTGTCGCCTCCTGCTGCTTTTAATACCACACAGATGAACAAGGCAGAGAAAGAGAAACAGAAAGAGAAAAGACTAAGCGTACTTACTATGACTTCTTGGCTTGAACATCTGGCTTTATTCTGAAACAAATTTTTAAAAAGCATGAAGTATATTTATATTTCATAAAGTCAGTGATTGTGTGTGAGACAATTCAAGGTTTTACCTGCAATCGCACTTTTGATGCTCTGTGAAACTTAAATGAACGGTATGTTGTGTTACCATCGGTCTGAACCGCATTACCTTGAAGAGAAACAAAGGACATAACAGGGAGAAGTTTACATGAAAGCAGCTTTTCATAACTCAGTCTAGACACCACAGAGCTGAAAACTCAAGCTGTGAACTGCCGGAGTCACTGTAACCAGCAGGCCTTGGCCCGGTTCTGAATACGGCTGTAAACAGCGTATCGGGCTGAACAACAAGCGTCAGATAGTAAATCTCACCGTTTCCCTGTTTGTGGATGGAACTGTTGTGACTCTCAGATAATCGACACACTCACAAACAAAACCCTGAGAAGAATCACAAAGTGGAGCCAGCACTTCAAATGAATGATCTGAGGTTGGCTGAAGCAGTCTTAACATAAAATTCACTTACTAGCTTTGTCTGGTGCTCTCAACCACATTTCATGGTCTTCATCGATGGGTGGAGTTTGCTCAGTTTTCATGGAGATGGTGCAGTTGTCATAATGTGACCTAGGTATGGAAAATTAGTCAACGTACAACTCCATACTTATATCACATGAGTACAACTGATCCACCTCCACAACAACAAGTCAAACTGCACCTGCTCAGACGCTGACATGTGGCTGAAAGTCCCATTGTGCTCGTTGGAGCATTTAAAGCTGCAGCTGCGACCGCCGGCTCACCTGCAGAGTGACGTTGCGTGTTTCTGTTGGAACGCACTCCATGGCTTCGTCGTTGCAGCAGCCTCCACAGCGGCTGAGGACCACGCAGGAGGGGATGTAGGTGTGCTCCGTATCCTCTGGATACTCCTGGAAGATGTCCACCAGAACCTCTCTGGGCTGACACATGCTCTTGGTGATGACATTGGTGAAAGGGACGACTAAAAACAAAGAGATTGATCATCACAATCAGTTACGAAAGTAATTTGAAAGGTTTTATGCAATGATGGTACTTCTAGTTCAGAATTCGGCCTTCATGTGTTTTTGTTCTTTTTAAGAAACAGGAGACGTTATTGCACTCTTAACTTTACACACAAGAGACATGGTGGAATAAAACTGTCCAACGTCACCACCAAGAACAAGCAGCCCACATTCAGAAGAAGACAACTCCATATATATGACCACAGAACACAAAAAGATGATCAATGCAATAACTAAGGGGATTATTTCAGCATAAAAGAATGTGCCATGTAGATGAGCCACATTTTATCATCTGAACCTGAGAATGTGGATCAGGAGTAGAAGAGATTTGGTAGCAGTCTGATAAAACCCTGAAGTTCAGAGCCTGCCCTCCCTGTGCAGACAGAAATAATCCCTCCCACTGTCCCAGAGTTCCCAGTGACCTCCTGCTAACTCCTGACCCCTGATTGGTCAGAGCAGTCATGACCTCCGGCTCTGTGGCGCCAGGCTTCACCTCTGACATATGACCTCAGGAAACCCACCCACGTGAAGGCACCGACTCCCAGCTACTGACGGTGTGTTAGCTTTGTGGCGACATTTTAAATCTACAGTCATGCTGCTGGAGCCTCAAGAATCTGAGTGTCTGAAATGAAAATGATAGAAACAGTGATTGACCATCATCAGAGGCATCCTCCATCCCATGACTTCTAATTAAACCTCCAGCTCTGTGAGGAAGGACGCTGCAGTAGGACGGTCGGCAGACATGAGATCTACTGGGTGGTCACGTCGGTTCTCTGCAGCCTCAAGTCAACGCGCTCAGCTCGTTTCTTCTAAGAACTACGATGTGTAGATAGTTTGGTGCTACTTCATAAGTTCTACCAACAAAACTCAAACCAGTAATAAAGGTTTTAAACTAGCAAGTATTGAAGCCTGAAGCCTGATGTGTTGTTCTTTTCTGCCATGAGCTCCATCACCACATTATAAAGACCAGCCACACATGCTGCATCTCGATCTCTCAGAACAGTCACAGCAAACCAGATGTTCTATCATTTGATGCAATAATACGTCCAGATTTTTTATATTAGCTTTTATGTCAAGGGGGAAAAATCTTAATACTGACTTGTGACGTTTTTGCATGTATCTTGCCATAAAACGCTGCAGTACAGATCTCTTTTCAGAACTGTGAAGACTGTCTGTGATATATCAGAGCGAATGGTGGGAGACCAAATAACACAAACAGGAGCTTAGTGCTGAAATGACGTCATTTTTGAACTCACTGACGTGTGTGCATCCAGCAGAGATGACAAGTCGAGGACCACCACTGACCACAACTGTTGAATCATTGCAAGCAAAAACAAATCTATTATTTAGTATTCACTTTCTTTCACCGGAGGAAGGAACATCAGCTCTGTGTTGCAGATGATGCAGCAAACACATTAGGGAAACAGCTCTTATCATCAGACAGAGTTCTGTGGGCTACGTGGCCAACACTATCAAACAGCTGGGACTTTGACTTATTCAGTCATGAAAAATAAGAGTGGAGATGGGTAAAGAAATGATTCTGCAGAAGTCTCATCTGTCTCCATGACCTTATTCTGTCAGTGTGTAAAAACAGCAAGCATCACTACAAAGCTTTGGTTCTGCTTTGTCTTGTGAAATAAAATTAAAATGTCATTGAAGAGATAAGGTCATTCGATTCAGTAATTTCATTGCATTGATATGAACATCTGTTGTTTCTGAAGAACATATGAATCTTCGTCATAACTGATGGATTGAACAAGTCAGCCTTTCAGCTTCATGAAGCAGTGTGGCCTGTGACTGTGTGATCGCCTACCAACCTCCACCTCAACGTCAACC